GGGGGGAGGGCAGGAAAAGATTAACCAAAGATCTTATATGCATACTAGAGGCCCAGTGCACAGATTTGTGCACCAGTGGGGTCCCTCAGCCTGGCCTGTGGGGATCAGGCCCAAACCGGCTCTCCGACATTCCCAGAGGGGTCCCGAATTGCAAGAGGGCACAGGCCAGGCCAAGGGACCCCACTGGTGCACGAATCTCATACACCCAGTCTTCATACATACTGGTTTCTTTGTTAAGAAATAGGCTCCTGCCCTAGCCGGTTTGGCTCAGTGGATAGTTTGGCCCACAGACTGAAGGGTCCCGGTTTCAATTCTGGTCAAGAGCATGTACATGGTTTGCAGGCTTGATCCCCAGCCTTGGTCAGGGGCCATGTGGGAGGCAATTAATTGATCTCTCTCTCTCTCTCACATCGATATTTCTGTCTCTTCCCCTTCCTTCCACTCTCTCTAAAAATCAATGGAAAAATATCCTCAGGAGAGTAATAAGAAAAAATAAAAAAATAAAAGACTCCTTTCTTCCTTCAGCCATGGAAAGTTCTCCTTATTTTCCAAAATACCAACTCAAATGATGATTCCTTCTGCCTGAAATACTTTCCAGCCTCTTATAGCAGCATGTTTTTGGGGCAGTGACTCTGTCAGAACATAATTTAAGAATCAATTATCTGCATTTTCTATTTCTATCTAGACTCAGCTCATTGAAAACAGACCTTATCTTGTTTTTTTTTGTAATTATTTCCCAAAGCACCTAACAGTGCTTTGCACTCAGTAAGGGTCAAATGCAATTTACTGAATTTCTGATAACTCCTTGGAAGTTTTTCTTCTCATACTGGACCTAATGTCAACTTCACAAAAACCTCAGTTTAAATCTAAACAACATGTATCATAAATCTATTTTAACATGATCGAATTTGTTGTTTTTTTATATGGATATTTAATTCCAACAGTTTTAATGCCTTGGTTAAAAAGGAGATGGTCAGGCAATTTGGGCTTATAAGAAACACATAAGGCCCTAGCTGGTTTGGCTCAGTGGACAGAGCATAGGCCTATGGACTGAAGGGTCCCAGTTCAATTCCGGTCAGGGGCACATGCCTGGGTTGTGGGCTTGATCCCCAGTAAGGGGGCATGCAGGAGGCAGCTGATGAATGATTCTCTCTCATCACTGATGTTTCTCCCTTTCCTTTCCTCTCTGAAATCAATAAATGTATATATCTTTACCTATATATCTATCCATAGATATAATTTTTTAAAATCGCCTTCCTTCTTAAAAAAAAAAAAAAAAAAAAAAAAAAAAAACACATATGTTATAAAACTTCCTATGATACTTACTTTGGGGAAAGCACTGGAGGACTGACAAAAGACCGAAGTGCATCTTTCACCATGTCTTGCATGAGGTGAGTTCCAAAGACCTTTTTGTTATCCACCAAGAAAGTGGTCTTAAAACAAATGTTATATATTAGTAATACTGCCACAAACTTGACCTATTGCACTTATAGCTGCCATTACTGTGACATGAGAATAATTTTTAAAATACCACAAAGTAAAAAGAGATTAAAATATTGAAAGTTGGTGGAAAATTTTTATAATCACTGTCTCCACAAGTTACTTATTAATCCCTATTTAAGGTGTATTTGATGCAAGAGAATAAAAGTCTTTCAAGTCAAAGTAGTAATTGCAAATTGTTCAAATCAACTGACTAGTCTAAATATGTCAAATGAGCTAATATATAGGAATGGGCTTCATAAATTGTGAAATAGTAAGTGGCTATACTTATTAAACTAGTCAATAATCTTTATCTCTAATGAATGCTTTGGAATACATACAACCTTTCCAAAATTGGATGAAACAATAGATTAAAAAGTACATTATTAAATTTAAAAGAAAATATTTAATAATAATTTGTATTTAATTTTCTCCCCTCAACCTCAGTGCACTTTAATATTTATTATATTGTACCTTACTTGCTTTCCTAACACATCTGGGTTGTTTCCAGTTTTTGGTGATCATGAACCAAACAGTGTAAATATTCACATACAGGTTTCCAAAACATCAGATTCCACTTCTCTAGGGTAAACAAGTAGGAGTGGGGTTTGTATATTTCATTTTATAAGAATGTGCCAATTGCTTTCCAAAGTATCTGAAGCACTTCACATTCCCATCAGCATTACATCCTTACAAGCAGTTGATATTCTGTTTTTCTTTCTTTTTCTTTTTTAAAAGATATTCTGAAAGGTGGATAGTAGTATTTCATTGCAGTTTAATTTGCATTTCAGTAATATTAATGATGTTAAATATTTTACCAGATTGAAGTGTTCAAACTTTTTGTTCATTTTAAAAACTGGACTGTTTCTTTATTGTTAGGCTTATAGAGTTCTTTATATGTTCTAGATTCAAGTCCTTTATCTGGCAGTATTTACAAATATTTTCTCCCACTCTGTAGAGGCTCTTCATTTTCTTAAGTGTCTTCCACAGAATTACTAGAAAGTTTTAAATTTATCAATTTAAGGATTATGCTTTTAATGTCACATCTGAGCACTCTCTGCCTTCTCCAAAGTCACAGAGATTTCCTCATATCATTTTTTTTAAAAGTCCTATAGTTTCACATTTTACATTTAGGTTTATGATGTATTCTGAGTCAACTTTTCCCCCCATGTGCCTGTCAAATTTGCACCACCTGTTGAAAAAGACTACCATTTCTCTATTGATTTACCTTTGTGCTTGGTCAAAAATTTACCATATTAATTTTATTTTCATTTTCATTCTAATTTAAGATTTCCTTTTTGATCCATAGGTTCTTCAGACATGTACTAATTTCCAAATATTTAGAGAATTTTCCAGTTACCTTTCTGTTACTGATTACTCATTTAATTCCAAAGTAGAGTGCATATTTTATATCATTTTGTTTTAAAATTGAGGTTTATTTTATGGCATGGGTATGATCTTGATGAATGTCTAACACTCTAAATCAGGGGTCCTCAAACTATGGCCCGCGGGCCACATGCAAATACAAATATTGTATTTGTTCCCGTTTTGTTTTTTACTTCAAAATAAGATATGTGCAGTGTGCATAGGAATTTGTTCATAGTTTTTTTTTAAACTATAGTCCGGCCCTCCAACGGTCTGAGGGACAGTGAACTGGCCCCCTGTTTAAAAAGTTTGAGGACCCCTGCTCTAAATCAATGCTTCTAATTAAAAAATGTAACATTAACTATGGAATATCCTATAGAAAGAAGTATCTACCTTTTGTTCCATCAATCACATAATTTGATGTTTAAAGAAGTATTTTCAATACTAAGTGGAACTTACTTGTAATAGAGATCTTGAAAGAACACAAGGTGATTGTTCACTAAACTCACAGAAAAAATCCTAAGAGAGAAACAGAGAAAAAGTAATGTCAATAATGGATTAAATAAAAGCAGAAAAACATCTGCAGAGAGAGTGTAATTTTTACTAGAAATAATATCCTACCAGAGTTAGAATATGACGAATAGCTAAAGATGTTCTCTAAATTGTCTAATTGTACCAATAACATTTTGGATAATTTTAGAGCCTCAATTTTTAAAAACAAACTGACCAATAATAGTATTGTGTGGATACTCATATTAAATTTGTACACCATGAAAATAACAGTAAGAGTAATATTTACTAACTAATGACAGAGGTTTACTTCCTACCTCACATAAATAAATACCAAGTAAGTAGGCCAATTGGATTCATATTACCAAATGACTGTTCTCGACTCTAGGGGAAGACCAAAAGATATGCTCAGAAAACTATAGATGGGTTTATACACAGATAGGAAAAAAAGATAAGAAAGACACTGAAGCCTGGCTAGCGTGGCTCAGTGCTTGAGCATCAACCTATGAACCAGGAAGTCACAGTTCAATTCCCGGTCAGGGCACATGCCTGGGTTTCAGGCTTGATCCCTAATGTGGAGTGTGCAGAAAGCAGCCAATTAATGGTTCTCTCTCATTACTGATGTTTCTTGCTCTCTCTCCCTCTCCCTTCCTCTCTGAAATTAATACAAATATATATTTAAAACAACAACAACACTGAAATGTTAACATCTGTAGGATATAAGATAGTAGCTATTTATCATCTTCATATTTTTCTGCATTTTGCTGGGTCAAAGAATGTACATTTTTAAGACTGGAGAGAGAGCCACTGGAGTACAGTAGAATGACTATTTCCCTTTATCAACATTAAAATATTATTTTACTTATCAATCTAATTGTTGTAAATTTTTTATATTACTATTAAGTTTGAGTATTTTTAATGTTTATTGCTTTTTAAACGTGTGTGTTTATGTCCTATCCCAATTTTACATTTTGTTGCTTATCTTTATCTTACTGATATGTCCGCATTCTCTATAATCTGGCACTTTATCCTAATAACAAGCTTCTTATGCAGATCCAGCGGACCATTTGGTCCCTTATCCTTCCTCACTTTACTCTTGGCCTCTGCCACACGCCCCACTACCACTATTCTTCTGTCCCAAGTCTTCCAGGGATCCAGACTTTTCTCTGACTAGGCTCTTTTTCATGTCCAGTGCCAGCAGTTCCCCCAGCTCCGTTCTATTATGGTATGTCATTATGCATTCACCCGTCTGACAAGGTAATCCATAATCTCCTGCCAGAATACAAATTCCAACTTTTGCATTACACTTTCTTATTCCAATTCACATTGATCTTTTCTTTTTCTAAAACCCTACAATTAATCTGGTGAACACAAATAAGTACCTATTTAACAATTAAGGATCAGAAAAGTGGATACAGAAGACTAAGAAAATCTCTATTTATTATCCAGATAAGTCACTAACCAATCTAATGAAGTTACAATGAATTACAAAATGAACTGGCTTATGCCTGTAATCTTTTCTACCTTTAAGATTCATGATTCTTAAGGACAGACTATTATAAAGTAAACAAATACAAAGGGGAGTAATAAAGACATAATCAGTGAAAGTTTCACTAAGGAATGAAGACTTACGCTGGGCTTTAATGACAAAGAATTAGTGGAAGGGAAAATAAAATTATTTTAAGACAGAACATAAACAAAAGCACAAATCTTCATTGATTATCAACTATGTCCCATAATTGCTGCTTAATTGTAGGAATGTAAACTGGTTAATTTGTCATCTCAGGAAACACAGGTATAGAAGAGACCTGGAACCAATAAGGAAGACTTCACAGAGGTAATGACATGGAGCTAGGAATTATGTTTCTCAGCATGGAGGGGGAACAAATGCATTATGTATGCATAGTCATGCAAAAGAAATTAGTGTAGTTATGTCTAAATATCAAGAATATTATTTTGCATATTTTCTACTTACCTACTAAACATAAATATCACTACAACCTTACCATTAACAAAATTCCACCTCTGAATGTTTTAATATTCCCAAAATAAAAGTATATTTTTCTGTATTTAAATCCATAAAAAAGATTAATCCAAAAACTGTTAACTTAAAAATGTACATACTCTTTTACCCAGCAACCTCACTGTTTAGGAATTTATCTTAAAGGGGAAGAAAGCACCTGATAAAACGATTTACCTATAAAGATATCTGCCACAATATTGTTTATAATAGCAAAACACTGAAAAAGACTTAAATGCAATTCAGTATGAACGGATTGAAAACAAAACGAAACACCTGATATATGCTTACTGTGGAATGCCATGTAGCCATTAATATAGAAATATATGTATTTGTTGACATGAAAAGACAGATATTCACAATATAAAGATTAATAATTAATGAAGTTTACCAAACACCATGATACAATTTTTTATATGAAAAAATATTGGTGCACATGCACACTTAAAAGCTTTTGAAGACAGAATCCAGGGTTCAAACTCCCATTTCTAAAACTTGGATGAATTACCTAACTTCTCTAGACTTTAGTTCCTTAATTTCTAAAATGAATAGTTATATTCCAGAATAGAGATTTGTACTTACCAGGATACAATGTAAATTTGTTAAATTGACCACCTCACAGACAGTTTTTATTCTATCTATTAATCTTGCAAAATAGTTGACCATTTCTTCCTTTTTAATTATTTTTGCATATCGAGGGAAGGTAGGTGGAAGTAGCCTCTGGTTAACAAGAGGCTCAAAGCCCATCATAATTGGATGATCTAAAAAGAAAAAAAAATATTTCAATGTTTCTCAGAATTTTAAATCTCAAATACTACTAAAAGTAAAAAAGGCCAGTTTTAAAAACATCTCCAAACAAATTCTAATCACAACATTGTCTAGATTTTATATTTTACAATTAACATATCTATACACACATATTATATTTAATAACCTAAAATTGTATTTCCTATCTACATGATGTTGGTAGTAGTGACAGAGAGGGGCTTCTACCTTCAAGCCAAGAATGGGATAAAATAGGGTTAATATAGTCCCTTTTTCTGACCACAATAGTATGAAATCAGAAATGGAAAATCTACAAATATGTGGAAACTAAACAACAACACAGTTCTGAACAACTAATAGAAGAAATCAAAAGGAAATTAAAAATGTATCAAACCAAATGAAAACTGATACACAACATACCAAAACCTATGTGCTGCAAAAGCAGTTGTGACCGGGAAGTTTATAGCAATAAATGCAGATATTAAAAAATTAGAAAGATTTCAAATAAACAATCTAACTTTATACCCCAAGGAACTAGAAAACAAATTAAGCCCAAAGTTAGAAGGAAGGAAATATAATGATTAGAATGGAAATAAATGCAAGAGACCAAAAAACAACAGAAAATATTAACAAAACCAAGAACTGGTTTACCAGAAAGATAAACAAAATTGATAAACCTTTAGCTACACTCCTACATGTCTACTGACTGGAGAATTTAGCTTACATTTAAAGTAATTGTCAATAGGTATGGAAATGCCATTGTCATTTTGTCAACTGTTTCCTGGTTTTGTAATTTTTTATAATTCCTTTGTTCTCTTTTTCCTTCTCTTGCTCTCTTCATTATTTGATAATTTTCTGTAGTGCGTATGCTTTGATTCTGTTCTTTTTTTCCTGTATATCTATAGGTTTTTGCTTTGTGGTTACCATGAGGTTTGCATAAAATACATTTGTAATAGTCTAAATTGATAACTTCAAACACACAAAAGCTACCTCTGCCACATTTCATATCTGATGTCACAATTTGCATCCCCCCCTTTAAAAAAATATTTTATTGATTTCAGAGAGGAAGGGAGAGGGAGGGAGGGAGGGAGAGAGAGAGAGGGAGAGAGAGAGAGAGAGAAACATCAATGATAAAAGATCAGCTCTCTCCTGCACGCCCCCTACTGGGAATTGAGCCCACAAACCAGGCATGTGCCTTTGACAAGAATTGAACCCGGGACCCTTCAGTCCAGAGGCTAACGCTGTATCCCCTGAGCAAAACCAGCGAGGGCACAATTTGCATCTTTTACATTGTATATCCATTAACAAAGTATTTTAAATACTTTTTATCTTTTAACCTTCAGACAAAAATTTTAAGTGATTTACCCACCACCATTACAACATTAGAGTATTCTGAACGAAACTAGTTGGCCCTTGGTATCTACAGGTTTTACATCCATGGATTCAACCAACCACAGATCAAAAACAGTACTCAATCCACACCTGGGAATCTGCAGATGCAGAAGGTTGACTGTATGCATTGTTCTACGCTATTTTATATGTGCATCCGTAGAGGATCCTGGAACCAATCCCTTGCTGATAGAGGGATGGCTGTGTATATTTACTTTTAACAGTTTTATACTTTTCTATGTTTTCAGCACAGCCCAAGCTCCCTCTCAAACTTCTGTGATTGTCCATACCTCCTCTTCAGTTCTTAGAAGTAGCTGAGATTGTGCCAACACCCATCAGTGTCCCAAAGTCAGCACCTACATGTAGGCTAATTAGAAGCTAAATCCTCAGGTAGCAGCTGGGGAAGTATATAGTTAAGCCCCTTTCCAGGCAGAAACTGGGAGATGGGCATTTTTGCTCAATTCTTCTGGGTGTATACCCATGGAGGAAGGGTGCTCCCACACCTGCTAACAACTGTTTCTTTGTTTTATAGTCCAGTGGGGCTCCTGAATGCAAGTGCAGTTGGTTAGTCAGGCCAGGTGATCGGGGGCTCATCCAATGACTGACAGCTGCAAAAGCTTGAGCACCAGTTGTGTGCAAGCTCCTTCCTGGGAGATACTGGTAACCGGGTTTTATTACTGCAACAAGTTGAAGTGAGAAGTTGGGAAAGGTGCCTGCTGGTTTTCCCAGTCTCAGGAAGATCTGATCCAGCCCCTAGATGCCTGCTAAATTGGAAGCCTGATCCTCAGGCAGCAGCTCTTACAGTATGCAGGTACAGTATGCAGAACAGGGAGGAAACCTCTGTTTCTAAACAGCTTTTAAACTAGTTCACATGTCATTCGCATAATTATCCTCCTCATTTTCTGAGGTACCTGGTATATAAAAATGGGGCTCTTGAGTGAATCCACAGTACAAACTGGTCTGTTCTTGACTTTGCTTATCAGTGGCTAAGAATTCAGTTATTTGGGGTCAGCTAGATCAATGTCCTCTGTTTCCCAGCTTCTAAAATTTTGTTGCTATTTTCTCCTTTCCCTGTTTATTCCTCTTTATTGAATATGCCTGGTTGAGTCAGGGAAGACTTTGTAATGGAGGTGATGATCTCTTAAAGAAGTGAAGGGGAGAGGTGACTAAGAAGAATGTACTGCTGACATCACAGCATGGTCACCAGACAGGGTAAATACTCAGAGCACAAACAGTAAGATAATACTGTTTTTTTTCTAGAAAAAAATTTAAAAGAAGGGAGCATACTTTATAAGTCTATGGAGCAAAAACATTCCAAGGCCCAGAGAGATTTAATTAAATAAAATTTTAGCCAATGTCCATACTACCCATAGCAATCTGGATGGGAAAGAATGAAAAAAGAGTAGGAGCAAAAACAGACAATTACCTCCTTTTGTAGTATCATTCTGGGCCTGGATGCCATGATGCAATGAATTATGAATGGCAGAAAGAAGATCTGCTGCTTGAACCATCAATTTTTGAGCTTCTGCAACAGCACTGGTCTAGCAAATAAATCACCAAAAACATTCTTACATATTCTTTCACTGAAAGATATACATTGGATAGGAAAATCCTATAAACAATAATGAAATCAAGTGCTTGTTGTAATGACATTGGTTTTCATGAACTATTCACTTAATACAGAATGTCCAGATCCTGTTAGGATAGAAATTAATTTTTTTTATAATTTTGTAGGAGCCATTAAAAAACAATAGAAAACATTTCTGGTTTATTCTATTAATATTTCGTTTAAAATGAGAGATGCAGCCAACTGGAAAATTTCAACGTTTCTACTCTGTCATTCATTAAGGGGAAATAAAAAAACACACAGAAAAAAATAGCATTGCAAAAGTTAGAACACTGGTAAAGGTTGGCCCTTTACTACTCACCACTTACTAACTATTCACTAACTTGCCTTTAATTGATACACACACACACACACACACACACACACACACACAAAATCACCATCTAGGGCTTACTTTGGGGGTCTACACAAATCTAACAGCTATTTCCTGAATGAAAGAGGATATCCTAAAATTCTCATTTTTACTTTCTCTTTTCAACTCACAAAATATGACTCCTATTTTTATATCAACAATAGATATGCATATGTTATGGAGCAAAATGTAAAATTCATGTGACTTTTTGAGAAAATCATCAGGGCTAGTCTGGTGTAAATATACTGAATGTTCAGTGCTGTACACGTGCAATAGGGGCATATCAATGGAATAGTCTCAGAACTACTTTAATACAATAAAGCATTCTATCAAAACAAAACAAACAAACACAAAAACCACATACCAGTAAATAGACAGATGATAGTAAATGCCCTTACCTCTTTCTTAGTAAAGGCTATAAGCACAGTCAGTAACACTCGAGTAAATTTCATCCTGCTGAATACTGCTAAACACTGTTGGTGCTAAAAAATATATATATAAGAAAGAACTAGAAGTTAAAAGATGCAAAGTCTGTTCAAAGAATTTCATTTTAAAATATGATATTTTAAGTCCTAAATCTCAGTGTTAATAACTTACTACATTACAAAAACGTTCACTCAGTCTTTAAGTGCCTGAAAATCGGAGCTGCAGGAAACATAGCAAAGCTTACTCTATTGAAATAGAAAGCTTCTGTAACAACAGGACTGATTTTCCCCTAAGACAAAAGTTACACTATCATCTCAAAACTGATTTAATCATAAATTAAAAAGGACTGTGAAAAAACTAAGCAGAGTCAGAAAATTTAGGACCTTAACAAAGGTTTGGCAACTTTTGATTCTGTGCAAGTTCTTGGGTTTTGCCAGGTTTTGATGTGTCATCTGTAAAGTCATTTTTTCTTCCTACCTCATAGGAATACTGAAGATTCAGCTTTGAAATCATGTATTTGAAAGAACTGTGTTATCATTCTATCAAAATAAACACAAGGGAAATAAAATCTCTTGCAATGTCCAATTTGTAAAGAAATACCTTAAAAAGGGCTTCCACAAATTATAATACAGTTCAAAAAACTATAATATTAAGAGGTTGACTTCTCTGATATTATCTACCAGAAAATAAGTTCAATTACTTCTAGTTCAACTTCTGGATCTCTTTCTTCTCCTTGTCGACTTCGAGTACTCTAAAATTTTAAGAAAGGTGAATTAAAACAAACACAGGCCTATAGAAGCATTAAATTATAAATATACAAGGTAAAGCACTAAATTAGTTTATTGTAAGAATCTATTTTTAAGAAAAATATTTGAGAGGGAAAAGAAGCTGTTTTTAGTATTTATTTCCTCCTATTAATACTATATTTAAAAAGTTAGTTTTACAAAGATCATACAAAAGAGTAAGGTATTAAAAGCAGCAAAAGCAAAACAGTAAAACAATATAAGTAAAAGCACATGGTTCTTCTTTCTTTTAAAAAATCTATTCTTTGAAATTCTAGATGCTTTCAAAACTAACCCTGCTGGGAAAAAAAGTAAGCTTTATAAAATCACATCATAAAAATAAAGCCACATAGTGAATACTGATCTGTTCTGCACTAAATGCAAGCCATCTTGTTAATACATGAGTAATATATGGTTAACTGTTTTGACAAAATTCTAGGAAGACCTCGTAAAAGAGCTGGTTTCTAGCATGTCCTAGTGAGACTCAGACAGGTTATTAAACTCTTTTGAACTGTATTTTCTAAATGTGGGGCACTGTGTGCATTTTATTGTCTAATTCAATAAATAATTGTGAATATCAAATAAAACAATGTAAAACTGCTTTGATAACTATGCTGTGTTATACAAGTGTAAAAAAAATAGCAGAAATATTAACCTTTTCCCTTGTTTAATCTCTATAGACCCACGCATCAGGGTCATTTGGCCGAAGTATGCCATTCATAGAAGATATTTACCAGATTTGGGATACCATCATTTACTTAGCTTTTCCTCTGTGTTGTAGATACTCTCCTAGCTATTAAAGGTACAAAGATGAAGACAGTCCTTATGTTGGAGGAATTTCCAATTCTACAATATGTACTACTCTTAAAATAGCATACAAAAATTCTAAAAAATTAGCCCAAAATTGAAAAATTGAGAGGGTTTATTTTTCTATACTTGAAAGTGACATTAACTTATCAGAAGCTTCTGTAATAGCCTTCAAACTCATTACCAAAAGGCACAGCATATACAAAGGAAGTTGATGGTCCTATCTACATCAGTTATTTGTACTTAAAGTTAACCTGACATTTAGAAAAAGAAAAAAATCCTACACCAAAGAAAAAAAAAAA